GCTCGGAAAGGTCCTATAGGAATCCATTTTGGGCTTCCTCATGTCGGTTTCATCCTTCTAAGTGCTAGAAGTCGATACCACACACGCGAAACCTCCAAAAGAGGACGGAAATAGGTCGAACTAAAACGAGGCGGGCACCACTTCTAAGGTTCTAAGATAGTCGCAGGAAGACCACTAAGGCTAGATCCTAGCTCCTACGAGGAATACTAGACCTCACGAAAATTGAGGTCAACAATCCACCATCTAGAAACCTTTCCTATTGAAACCACCACCTTCCAACATCCCAACTTGCCCATTCTCGCCGACCTTGCCGATCTCGCCGACCTTCACCACCCTTAGGATACACTTTTATTGTGGTTATTTGTTTTTATTGTTGCATTTCCCTTTCAGTATGTAGGTTGTAACCGCCTATGGGCTTTGCCAGTAATAGTATGTGTTTTTTCTATTGTTGTTTGGGTTAACTCTGATACAACCATTTAGTGATTGAAAGCACCAAATAACCTCCATTTAAATAGCCATAACTAGTTCGGGGGAATGTAGAAACCATCCCTTGTTTGGAGAAGACTATGTTGCTACTTCTCCATCTTTTTCTTTGAACATGCTTGTTTGCTTAAGCATTGGAGTGCTCTCTGGGAAACACTTCTTAGGGCAGACTCATATTTTTCTATGACTATATATGATTGAATGCTACAATTTTAATCCTGCACAATATTCAAAATTTTGAGGTCCACTCTTCCCCATCTCAAAAAAGGAACCACTTGACAAATTAAGTACAACAAAGCCATTTGCCCCATCATCTCTTGTTAAATGGAAGTACATACTTTAAGAAGGCACAAATGCTCTTTCTCTTGAAGATTGTGTTCGACAAATGAAAGAGTTTATGAAATTTTATGCTTTCATAAATTATGTCAATCGTGATTACTATTTTTTAATATTGCTGACAACAATTTTCACCACCCGCCCAAGAATACCTATATGGCAGCATCACACTATTAGATTGAGGTTTCACTTTCTCTACTTGACACCTCTAGCTCAACGAATTTGTCTTATATTTACTAGGTGGTCCCCAATACTCCAATGGAGGATGATGAGGCAGAAAACATACTTTTATCATGAAAAGGAGACCTCCACATGTCCTCTAATGAGATAAATTATGATGCTTGTAGGAACAGAAATCAACCTCTTTCTCAACTAGTGCTTTTGGGTTTGTGTATGATTCAGTTAAACTTAGATGGAAGGCCTAGAGCTATGGTTCAGGTTTCTTCACTGTGATTTGGATATCTTGAATTCGAGGCACTGGAAGTTTTTCTGCCAATGTAGGGTATGATTGTATATACATACTCCACCCAGGCCTCATTTGTGGGAGCTTCATTGGATACAGCCTTTAGTTACGAAACTGGTGCTGGATTCTTTGGGCGCATTCAATTAATTGTGTAATAATTGTGCCGAGCAATGATTTTGGCTATTATTTGGCATTATCTTTGACAAATACTGCCTCTGTTGATTGCCAGAATCCAATTTTTTTAACATCTACACGAAACTGTAGGTTTAAAAATTTTTCTCTTTTTATAGGGAAGAGCACTCTTCTGAACCATCTTTTCCATACCAAATTCAGAGAGATGGATGCATTCAAGGGGAGGTAAGTCGTAATGGATATTTCTCAACTTAAATGTACATTTCATGTGAAAAGATGCCTGTCTATATTATTATTATTATTATTATTATTACTACTGCTATTACTGGTATTATTTTGTAATTCAGATCACAAACTACCAAAGGAATTTGGCTGGCAAGGTGTGTGGGAATTGAACCTTGTACTATTGTCATGGATCTGGAGGGTTCAGATGGGAGAGAACGAGGAGAGGTACTATTAAAATTTTACCCCTTGAGCATTATCTTATTTCAAATGGACTTAAAAGCATATGTTATAGTACCATTTTTGCATTTAATTTTTTGTGCTATATATTTTTAATCAAATTTTATTAGTGATTAACATGTCTTCAGACCCACCTATCAATTTTGCTCACCATATTTAGACAGATCCCTTTGTTCTTGAAATTCTAAGCAACGTGTAGCAGTAAATTTTGGTACATTTACAACTTTACGATGTAAAATATTAAATGGTGTCAAATAATTGCAAAACTGATTGACAACCACGATGTATTAAACTTGGTTGATATATTGCAACTGTTAATATGTGAATTAGCTAGTTTTTTATATATTGCAACTGTTAATATCTGAATTTGCTAGTTTTAATATGGATAAAATAAGAGAAAAGTGCCAAAATGGTCACTTAATTTTTTGCAGGGATTCATTTTAATCTCAAAGCTTATAAAAGTGTCAAATTAATCTTCAGATTCTTTTAATGAGGGCAGAAATGATCCTCTTTTTTAAAAAAGTATGGGACTATTTGAGCCCATATGAAAAGAGCCCGGGGATTAATTTGACACTTTATAGACTTTGGGACTATGATGACTCCTTGCAAAAAGCCAATTGACCATTTTGACATTTTTCTATATAAAATAAGTTACCATGTGCCACTACTAGATGATGAATTTTACATTGGTAGTTTTCTTTAACCTTGAGTATATGCCAAACAAAATACTGCACGTTTATTTAGTTATCGTTTTACATCATAATAGATGTTGAAATGAATGAAAATGCAAAGTCTAAATCACATGCATAGCTAACATTAAGGGTTTAGCTTCTCTTGCAGACAGTAAAACCTTGTTTTATTGTGTGTGTAATGTTTTGCTGCCCATTCTCATGGACATCTAAATTGCTGCTATCTTGCAATTGTTCAAACACTTGGCTTGTAACTTCTATTTCTATTTCTTTTTCAGGATGATACTGCATTTGAGAAGCAGAGTGCTCTTTTTGCTTTAGCAGTTTCAGATATAGTGTTGATAAATATGTAAGCCTGCTGATCTATTTAATTTTTCTGATGTGGCATCAATGATTATTTTTCGATGATGTTACCGCAGGTGGTGTCATGATATTGGACGTGAGCAGGCTGCAAACAAACCTCTTTTAAAAACAGTATTCCAAGTAAGCACTGTTTGCATCTCTGATTGAACAATGTATTTATTTTCTCTATTTTTTTCACCTGGAGTTACTTGACTGCTTTTCTTAACAGGTCATGATGCGGCTATTTAGTCCTCGTAAAACAACCTTGCTGTTTGTTATACGCGACAAGACTAAGGTGAGTGATTTTCAGCATTTGTGTTAGTTTCTATGATAAGATTTTTACTGGTGCTTCTTGTGATATTTGAAGAACAATTTTCTTTTGTTATGCATCTGGAAGTACTGAACATTTTTGTTTTTTCTATGACTAGACACCTCTTGAACACTTGGAACCTATTTTAAGGGAAGATATTCAAAAGGTGTGTGTTATTTAATAGTTTTCTTTTATTTCATATATCCACTATATTATTAATTGTTTGGCATGCTTTTAACAGATTTGGGATTCTGTTCGCAAACCAAATGCACATAAAGATACCCCACTTAGTGAATTTTTTAATGTAGGTGGCCATAACATTGTTAAAATTGGTATTGCCTTTCTTCTCACATGAATAATACATCTCTTTATTAATTTGAATCCATTGAAACTATAGGTAGAAGTTGTTGCCCTCTCAAGTTTTGAAGAAAAAGAAGAACAGTTTAAGGAGCAGGTAAATTTCTATTTAGTTGCTGCACTTTATAGTTTCCATGTCTGGTTCATTCCTTTTGTCTTGTGGCATGTGAGATTGTTGGGACTGAGCATTTTGACGAAGTTGTGCATTTGGAGAAACCCATTTTTGTATTTTTGCATTATACTCTTGGTTTCTCTTCAGTATTATAAAAAGTAGGGGACCGTGGCTTCCAACTTACGTCATATGCTTGGAATGTACCACGAAAAAACATTAAGTCCAACGTCATCACATTCTCATGCTCCTATTGTAATTTAAAATGTTTGCTCAATCTTGCTACCCCTTAAGGGGAAGAAGTATGGATAGTTAATTTTCATTTTTTCTGAGAATTTGTTGTCCGCACAATTTTATCTGAGGTAATTTCTGTATCTGTCAATAGTTTGTTTGATTTAAGAATATAGGGTGAGCCGTATGTTTAGAGCTGCAAAATAGTCATTGGTTAGTTCCTAGATTCTTAATATCACCTTATCACTAGAGTAACCCGTTTTCTTTTGTGTGTTTGTGCATGCTCGTCTGCATGTCTATTTTTTTAATTGTCATTGCATTTTGAGCGTTGGTACTGATTTTTTTTTTTGTTTGTAGTCGGGGGTTAAGGACGGTGTGTGGAAGTTAGCGATTACCAGAAATTAATGTGTGAAGTTGAGCTTGGAGGGAAATAGATTACTATGAAGAATTGAAAAAAAATGTAACATGAACTACAACAAACATAGAAATGAACAATAGTAACAATAAAACAAAAAATTAACTAAAACTTTAGGAGGATGAAGAAATAAAGTAGTAGAAAATGATTACTTGGTTTGGTTCCATCTGGCATTAACCATGTTTTTGTCAGGAATCTGAGGCCAGCATGTCACGAATGATGATGACCCCACCCCTTTCCCACTAAGGGCAACATAATATTAAATTTTTAATGGATTGGTTTTAATTTCATGCTAACATTAGACCCAATATTTCATTCATACACACTTCATTTAAAGAGTGAAGGATTAGAAAAACGGTGTTCAATACATATCATCCAGGCATTCCAGGCTTCATATATGGCTTGAGGGTTATATTGCAACTCTCATACGTAAAAGATCTTATTAGATTTCCTAGTCAACCAAAATGGATTTCGCAGAGACTACAGAGACCTTGAGCAATGTTTTAAAGAAGACTAGCCCTCTCACATACTTTATATTTAATCGGTTTTTCAGCCTGTTTCTAGCCAGGTTACTTTAACCTAACCATCACATGTCATGCAACAATGTGTTTTGCTTTGGAAAAATTTTCAGGTCAGCTGCTTAGGAGAACAAATTAGGATATAGTGCTACTTAAAATCTCAAATTCCTTAAATAGGTTAATTGATCTACTAAATATTATATAGAACATGTACCATTACTTTAAAGTTGTTGGTGCAGTTTGGTCGACGCAGTTGAAGTTTTTGCGGGATACCATGGTCATCTGACCTTTTGCCCGCTAAAGCTTAGCTGACTGGTCCATTATCCACCCATTTTTCTCGATGTACAATAATTTTGCATCACGTGAACCATAATTATCCCAAAAGGCTGTTTGTTCCTTTCTCTTGATATTTATACATATTTAAGCTTTTGTTGTTATTATCCTTGAAGGTTGCAAATCTAAGGCAAAGGTTTTTCCATTCAATTGCTCCTGGTGGGCTTGCTGGAGATAGACGTGGCGTTGTTCCTGCATCAGGATTTTCATTTAGTGCACAACAAATTTGGAAAGTTATAAAAGAGAATAAGGATCTTGACCTACCTGCTCACAAGGTGATGGCTTATTTTTTAATTAATTTGTGAATTTTGAATGGTTCATTGCTTTGATATAGCAATATTTAGTTCTTTTGGTAACCTACTGTAGGTTATGGTTGCCACTGTTCGCTGTGAAGAAATTGCAAATGAGAAAATTGCTTCTTTTTCTGATAACGAGGTAATTGGCTAAGAATTTCTTCTTATCTAGTTTCTAGCTTGTGGCGATATTTTTGTCATCATTACCCATTTGAGCATTATGGTAGGAGTGGCGCCACCTTGAAGAGGCTGTGCAAAATGATATTGTCACAGGTTTTGGGAAGAAGCTTACCTCCATAATAGAGAATTGTTTGATTGGGTAAGGATTCTTTCTTTCTATCAGAAAATTATCATTTGTTCACTTATCATGGATTGCTAATAAGATAAAATTAGAGAAGAGCATCTTATAGGTTTGAATGTTTGATATTTCATGTTGATTGATTTAAGATCCAACTTATTTCTAAGTGATTATTGTCGTATTAAAGGATAGATCTAATAAAAAAAGTAAGTCTTTAAAACAATTAATACTTCTGGACTCTGGTATGAAGGTTTTGTACTTTATAAAAAGGTTGATCTTTATTTTAAACAGAGTAAATTTTAAAGCAGTCTGCTTATTTATGTTCTTGTAATTTTAAAAACATCTTCAGATCCATATTTTACCTGTGTTAGTGCATCCATAATCATTCAGCTATATATGAATATTCTCTGTTGCTCTATTCCCCTGTGCCTCCGTGGAAATTTATTTTTGAAAAGTTGGTTGTTCTACCACCAGGGAATGCATTTGAAAAGCTGAATAGTGTGCATGCACATTTCTGTGTTCGTCTTTTAACTTTAGCTTTGGGTTAGTGTGAGCAAAGAGGATATAACTAGATATAAACTATGCTTGATGCTGTTGGGATGTAAAGAATGGAAAATTCATGTGGAAGCCAGTAATAGCAGACTTAGCGGAAGTCTGTTAAATGCCTTAATGTTTTATTTATTAATTTTGTACTGAGGAATGATTAAAAATATATGCAGAAAGCCTCAGGAAAATCAATGTGGCGTTCAGTTTCTACTAAAAGATTTGATAAAATAAATGCATATTATATTCTTTAGCATTTATTGGCTGAGCACTTTGGCTACAAAGCTCAGCGCAATTTACTGTTTTGCTTGTTCGCGTGTTGTGTTTTTCATCAAAATAATTCTAAGGATAACACTAAAATTTTGATCTGCATTACAGTTATGACATGGAGGCTATATATTTTGATGATAATGTTAGAACCTCGAAGAGGCAGCAGTTGGAATCAAAACTTCTTCAGGTACTATAAATTGTTTTCCAAGGAATGAATAGTATTCTTTTGATTGGCATTTTAAATTCATATAAAAGGAGGAATTCTTGAGCCCAAAACAAAGGATTCATTCTTCACCTCAAAAAAAAAAAAAAAAGGATTCAAACAAAAGGATGAATGAAGTAATTTCTTCAGGGGGAAACTTCTCTGGTTCCCTAAGTATAATTTTTCTAAATTTCTTTATTTTTTTTATTTTTATAATATCAAAACTATTTATGAAATTATTGCACGCACTAAGTTTATTATTAAACAATGAAATTTCTCAATTTGATCAAATAAATTCTTAATTTTGCATTGAAGGCTACAAATTAGTTTGAAAATTTATGTAAAAGTTTTGTGGAGCTCCCTTTTTATTGATGCAGGCAATTATGCCACTCATATTCGAAGCTCTCCTACTAGGCCTTTCATTATATACAAAGCCACTAGGTTTACTTAAACAATTTTTATCAAATTTTTAATCATGATTTTGCATTTGGAATCCTTGTATTCCCTCTTTTGCAAAATTTCTCTTTCATATGGTACTTTGATTTTATGATCCTCAGATGGACCATACAAAATTGTGAACAATCTCATGCGAGTAAAATGATAAGGCATTTTCATCTCAAATAGAAAAAAAAATAGAATATTAAAAATAAATAAGGGAAATCAATTAGATGAACTTATACTCTTATTGGATCGCAAATTCTGGGAGTTATTAAAGGTAATTACGGTAGGAAAGTGCCAATATGCGTGCTTATTAGGAAGAAATTTATTTCCTTTCTTTAGCATTGATATCAGAACTGGGGCTGTCAATTTGGCTCGTTGTTCGTGAACAGCTCGTGTTCGGCTCGTTAAGCAGCTCGTGTTCGGCTCGTTCGTTAAGCCTAACGAGCCGAACACGAACAAATTTTTA